ATCATGCTCTCTCTCCTGGCTCCTGTTCTGTTGCTCTGGCCTTGCTGCTTGGGCTTGCTGTGATGGCTTGCTGTGATGGCCTCTGAATAAAGCTCTGGTGTTGGCGCCTCCTGATGGCTCGTCTCTGTGTGTTTATCTGGTGGAGGACTAAAGACTCGGAAGTGAGTATGACTCTGGTAGCGTGCTCCTTTTAGGAGGAGTGGGTACCGGTGCGCGGCCGGCAGAAAGTCGGCATGTGGCCAGTACACCTAGTACCCCTTTTTCTCTTTCAGAATTCTTCAAGCAGGACTGAACTGAGGTTTTTTGGTAGGTGCTTTTATCACTACCTGTTACTCCTCCAGCGACATCTTTAAATATCTCATCATGGTAGAAGGTGGCTTGAGGTTCTCAAAGGCTATGCTAGCAAAGCAGAATCACAAGCAGGCCCTAGCCAAGCAGAAAGGCCCCAAGCCCACTAATGGACTGTTTGTCAGTTGTCTAGAGACCAGCCTGCTTAAATGGAGAGAAAGGCTCAGCATTGAAAAGCTGACCAAGAAGTGATACATTTTTTGGCCATAGCTGTCTATGAAACTGTTTGGTAAAGCAGGGAGGTGCTTGGGTTTGCATGGCTGGAAGGTGTGCCTAGCCCTTGAAAACACAGGTCATTTGGTACTTTCTTCTTAAATACTCAAATGATTCCTTAATTTCATCATATTAAAAGATCACAACCTACGTCTGCTTTCCTATCCATTGAGACTTTAGTTCATGTTTTCCCAAAAACTTACCACAGTAGGTCTGCCCCATATTCTATAAGCCTTTTTCACTTTTTCTTAGTGGAATCTGGCTGTCCATCTGTCATCTATAATTCTTCCCAAGTGACCAGCCCATAGAATTCCTTAATTATGTCCTTCAGTACCATTTTTGGGAGCTCCTCTTTGGTTGAATGTAGCAGGCTGGTCACATCTAACATGAGCCTTTCTGTTGTGCTCTATGTGTAACTTCCTATTTCAACTAATAATTCTTAATGAGTAGGTTCTAATTTTATTTGTTTCTATGCTTTTGAGTGGCGCAATGGATAGAGTACCGGGCTTGGAGTCGTGAAGACCTGAGTTCAAATCTGGCCTCAGACACTTACTACCTGTGTAAACCTGGGCAAGTCACTTAACCTTGTTGGCTTCGGTTTCCTCATCTATAAAATGAACTGGAAAAGGAAATGGCTAACTACTCCAGTATCTTTGCCAAGAAAACCCCAAATGGGGTCACAGAGAGATGGAAGTAACTGAAACGACTGAACAACAACATGCTTCTGAGGGAGAATAAGTCTCATCACCACTGTAAGTTTTGGTAGTCTCTGGCAATATCCCAGTAGACCTGCCTTTGTTCCTGCATAAAAGATTACTTTATTAGAGAGTGAGCAATATGTTAAAGCATATGCCTCTTTTCCTCCCCTCCACTAATTTTTTGTCTAATGTGATTTTTAATTAAGACATGTATGTGCTAATTGTCCCTTCACTTCTTGGTGGCAGGGTGATGTCATAGAAAGAATATTGGATTTAGAGCCAAAGAATCTGGATTAAAATCTCGGTTATGCCACTTACTACTTGTATGATTTTGTCCAGGTCGCTTCATTCTGGGCCTTAGTTTCCTTATTTATGACATGAGCATCTTCATAGGATTATAGATTTAAATCAAGAAGAGACCCAAGAGGTAAAAACAAGTCTAACCCTCTCATTTTACAGATATGGGAAACTGAGACACAAAGATGTTAAATAACTTGCCCATGGTCACATAGTTAGGAAAGTCAGGGCTAGGGTTTGGACCAAAGCCCTTTGCTTCCAAATCCAGGATTCTTTCCACTGTACCAGGCTGCCCTGGACTGAATGGTCTTTAAGTCCTTTCCATTTCTAAATCTAGGCTTGACTGAAGCTACTTATCTGCTATCACGTGATAGGGGGAAAGAACACACATAACAGAGTCAGCAGACCATGGCTCTAGGCTTGGTTCTTCAATTAACTAGCTGTACATCTTTAGGCAATAATGATAATAATAATAATGATGATGATGATAGTTCCAAGCCCCTTTACCCCTGAGGGTCTCATTTGTCAAATAAGAGGTGGCCTAGATACTCCTGGTTCCCTTCCAGCTCTCCTGTCCCAGGATACAGTGTAGGTCAGCACTGCTTGTTAAATTGTTCTCTGAAAATAATTTGTAGCTTAGGTATGTGCTTTCCTTTCCCCAGCAATAATAATAACACATATCAGTATCAGCTTTTCCTTTCCTTTCCCTAATTTCTCTCAGCTTAGCTTCTTTTGCTCCTTGTCATTTTGGAAGCAAGGAACAGATAGAATCTGTATCTGCAAACAGTGTGCACCTTTCTTGTGGAAAGGAGGCCACTCTTGCTTAGAACAGACAGGGGAAATGAGCTGAATGGCAATGGAGATGGGGGAAGTTAGAAATGGTAAGGGAGGAAGAATTGTTTGTTCAGAATACTGAGAAGTCAAGCAGGAAATGGAACAATGTAATGTGGGAAATGAAATCCAGGGTGTGTCCTTTCTGAGGCTGAATTGCCTTTATTTCCAGATGGCAAGAGGACCTCCATGAATTCCTGAACCTAGTAATTTTCTCCTGTCTCACATTGGCAATGACAAGATAGAAAAGAACCGACCAAGGGAAGGGAAGAGCACAGCTATGATCAAATGGACAAGGTCCTCAGCTATGCTTAGGAAATGCTGCAGAACCTAGTAAAGAGGAAGCAGAAGCAGAAGGAATGTTAGGTTTCTCTAAGTCTAGGGAAATAAGCTGCATATATTGGAGGTTCCTTGAAGTGCTGAGTACGCTCATGGAGCAGTTAGAATGCTTCAATCATTATTATGAGTCTTTGTAGAAAATGTCTGTGCCTGAAAAAGGCAGAGAACTTGGGGGCCTCCTTCCTGTTGGCCTTAGAGTATGGTGCAATGGAAAAAGTCCTGGGCTTGGAGTCAGGGAATGTGGGCTCAAATCCCAGCTCTCCTATTTATTACCTGTGTGATCTTAGGCAAGCTGCTTTGCTTCTTTGGGCCTCAGTTTCCCCATTTGTCAAAAGAAGTGGCTGGACTAGACATCCTTTCTAGAGCTATAATGCTCTAGATATATAATCCTATGATCTGGCTTTTTAGTGTCCTGATCCCCATCATTTGAAAAGGTGGATTGACTAGGCAACCCCTGAGTGGGTGAGAGAGAGAGAGAGAGAGAGACAGAGAGAGAGAAGTACAGAGAAAGAGAGACAGAGACAGAGACAGAGACAGAAACAGAGAGAAACATAGAGAGACAGAGAAAGAGAGAGAATGAGAAAAAGAATAAGAGAGAGAGGAAGGAGGGAGGAAGGCAGAGAGAAAGGGAAAGGAGGGTGGGAGATACACAGAAAGGGAATGGGAGAGAGAGAGAGAAAATAAGAAAGAATAGGAGGGAAAGAGAAAGAGAGGGAGAATGAGAGAGAGAGAATGGGAGAGAGAGAGAGAAAGAGAATGTGTGTGTGTGTGTGTGTGTGTGTGTGTGTGTGTGCACATGGAGGGGGAGAGAGAGAGAGAGAATCATTATCTTGGTATGGTAGGAAATCTGTTGTATATATTTTTATATGTATGGCACTTGTCTCCCCATTAGAATGCAATAGGGTTGTTTCATCCTTGTATTTTTTTACCCTCAGAGCCTGGTACATAAAATGCTCCTAATAAATACTTGTTTCATTGATTGAAACCATTTGAGTAGTTGATGGATTTTACAAGTAGTCATTCAGTCAATAAATATTTATTAAATGCTTACCATGTGCCAGGAGCTGTGCTGAACACTGGAGATACAAAGAAGGGAAAAAAGCAGGCCCTGTTCGTAAGGATCTAACAGTCTCATGGTTGAGAAAACAACTATGCAAACATGTACAAACAAGCTCTACACAGGATACACTAGAAATAATCAACAGAGGAAAGTCACTAGAATTGCGAAGGAGTCAGGAAAAGATTCTTGTAGGTGAGATTTTAGCTGGGACTTGAAGGAAGCCTGGGAAGCCAAGAGATAAAGACAAGGTTGGAAAGAGTTCTAGGCATAGGAGACAGTTTGTGAAAATACCCAGAGTACAGGGTTGGAACGTCTTGTGGGAGGGCCAGCAAGGAGATCAGTGTTACTGGATTTCAGAGTATGGGAGGGGTGGGGACAGGGGCGAGGTAAGGTATGAGAAGACTGGAAAGGTGATGGGGGACGATGTCACGAAGGACTTTTTAACACCAAACAGGATTTTATATTTGATCCTGGAGGTGATAGGGAGCCATTGGAGTTTATTGAGTATGAAGGTGGGGTGGGGTGACGTGGTCAGATTGATGATTTAGGAAGATTACTGCCCATTGAGGGGAGGATGAGTCACTTCTTTATCCAGGGCCCAGCTTTTGGGGCAAGAAACTAACAATCAACCCAAGACCTAGAAATCACCTGATAAGGTGGAGTCATAAATATGATCTGGGTAGTAAACAATTAGTGTTTAGACTCCTCCCTGCCTTCCCAATTGAAAAATGACCTCATCCTTTAGGTTTTTTTTTTTTGAATTGCTGAAAGTCTGAGGAATGAGAGCAGCAGGTAGAGCCAGACCACATTACGTGCCTAAAGCCATAGGGAACCAGGCTGTGAAGCAAGGGCTGTGTTTCAGTGCTGTTAGCCATAACAGTGAGATATGACAGACTCAACATTCTGAAAGAGACATGCATATTTATACATGGTCAGTGTGGGAATTTGTTTTGCTTGCCTCTGCTTATTTGTTATAATGATTTTGTTTTTCTTTTACAATGAGATGAGGGAGGTAGGTGGGTATGAAGGAGAAAAACTAAATCTTTGTTAATTGAAAAAAACCCACTTAATTACAAACAACGATAACAACAATTTAGCTACCTGGTATAGTGGATAGCAAGCAAACCTTGGAGCCAGGTAGACTTGTGTTAAAGTCCTACCTCTGAGACAGTACTGGCTGTGTGACCCTGGGCAAGTCACTCTCCCCTCAGCACCCTGGACAGCTCCCTAAGCCTATACATTGCAAATTAGTAGGCAAAGCAGCTTTCAAGGAACTAATTGGGGAGACAATATGCAAACGACTATATGCAAACATATTGTATACAGGATAAATTAGAAATAATCAATGAAGGGAAGGCACTAGAATTAAAAGAGATTGGGACAGGCTTCCAAGGTAGGGTAGAAGGTAGAGTTTTAGTTAAATCTTGAAGAAAGCTGGGGAGTCCAGGAGGCAGAGATTTGGACAAGGGGGTGAATGAAAATGGCCAGAGCTGGCAGATGGAGTGTCTTGTGGGAGGCGGAGCAAGCAGGCCAGTGTCACTGAATCCTAGGATACGTGGGGATGTAAGGTATAAGGAGACTGGAAAGATATGTGTGGGTGAGGAAGATTATGAAGGGCTCAATACTAAATAAAGGATTTTACATTTGATCCTGGAGGTGATAGGAAGCCACTGGAGATTATTGAATGGGGATGGGGGTTTGAGGGTGGGGTGGTGACATGGTCAGACTTATGCCTTAGGAAGATCTCTTTGACAGCTAAGTGGAGAATAGACTAGAGTGGAGAGAGCCTTGTGGCAGGGAGACCAATCAGCAGGCTGTTGCAATTTTGCAATATACAGGCTTGAGGTGATAATTGCACCAGAATGGTGACAATATCAGAGAAGAGAAGGGGGTGTAGACAAGATATGTTATGAAGGTAAAATAGACAACAGACTGGATATGAGGGCGGGTTAAAGAGGGAGGAATCAAGGATAACACCTTGGATAAGAGCCTGGGTGAGTAGAAGGATGGTGGTACACCTGACAGTAATAGAGAAATTAGGAAAAGGGGAGGATTTGGAGTAAAAGATAATGAGTTCAATTTATGAACTTTCAGCAATTCAAAAGAAAAACCTAAAGGATGAGGCCATTTTTTTTTAATTGGGAAGGCAGGGAGAAGTGTAACCACTAATTGTTTACTGCCCAGACCGTATTTATGACTACACCTTATACCAGTACTAGGTGATTTCTAGGTCTTAGGTTGATTGTTAGTTTCTTGCCCCAAAAGCTGGGGACATGTTGAGTTTAGGTTAGTTCGAGATGTCCAATAGGTGGTTGGAGATGTGAGACTGAGGTCAATCAAACGGTCAGGGTTGGATAAGATTTGAGAATAATCAGCAGAGATGATAATTGAATCCATGGGAGCAGTTGAGATCCCCGAGTGAAATAACATAAAGGGAGAAGAGATAAGGGCCCAGGACAAAGCCCAGTGGGACACCTAGACACATAGGCTGTCACATAGACAGTCTGTCTCAGAGGCAGGACTGGTAACCAGGACTTCCTGTTGCTAAGGTTGGATCTCTAATATGTTATGCTGCGTATTGTCTTAAAAGTAGAACTATGTGATGCTGGGCAAGTCACTTAACCTCTGTTTGCCTCAGTTTCCTCAACCATAAAATGGGGATAATAACAGCACTTACCTTGTTGAGAGGATCAAATGAGATAATATTTGTAAAGGACTTAGCAGAGCGCTTGGCACGTAATAGGTGCTATTTAAATACTTATTTCCTTCCCTTAAAATGTTATGCAAGTGATTTAAATCTGAATTAAGAAGATTTTATTCTCTCCTAAAGCTCTCCTCCAAGGTGATCTTGAGCTCTTGGAGGTTTTGCTAGAGAACACAAGCTCCGACAGGTCCCACAAGGTCAGAGAGGTTTTGAGTATGGGTCCTGAAATGGCACCTAAGAACCAGCCCAGCTAAGACTGGAGAGACCATTGCCAGAAGGCTGGGCACCAGGTGAAGAACTATTTTGGCTACAGCAACTAATAAAGTCTAAATCTTGGCAGGATTGTGAGTAGCACTGGTGAAGGGAATATCCATACTTATGAAATCCAGGCCATTTTGACCCACTGAAGTATGAAATTTGTGAAAGAAGTAAAACTAGCTACTGAAAATGAGTCCTGGGAAATCTAGGCAGATACTATTCATTTATAAACAGTAACATCTGTTGCTCTTTAAGTGTGAAGGAAACATTCATCCAGGTTACTGACCTCACATTGTTCATCCTTTGTTTTTAAAGAGGACCAATAACATCAGTGGATTATGTCTTGACTTAAGCATGAATTGGATTTAAGTGAAGCAGAATTGCACAAAATCATCAGCCTCACTCTCTTCCAGAGTCATTGAAGTCCAGTAGCAGGACAAAAGTCAGGATGACTGGCCATGGCCTGGGATATAGTAGATGACCTTGGCATCTTCAATGTTTGGCGAAGCTCTAAGCGCTCCACAGTGTCTGCTTCAGCTGCCTTCATGGCCATTGGAACAAATTGTTCTCATCTACTCCTGAAGTCCTGAGGACTTCATGAGTTTGGGGTAGACAGGAATGAAGCCTGTCAATTACCCTCAACCTGGTTAGCCAGTCTGCTGAAATGGTTTTATCAGGGTGTAGCCACTGTGCATGTTGCAGCTTCTTGGAGTCACCCAACTTGAGAGTTGGGTGAAAGGTGGATAAGCAGCCCTGAAAAGAGCTTGGCCAGTCCTTACACCAGAGGTGCTACTGCTGCTTGAACACCCCATACACCCCACTGACCTAATATGTGACTACTGGAGGGTAGTATCTGCTAATTCTACCTATTAGCATTCATATAGACAAATAGACTGGTTTGTTGGTGAAGTTGCTGAAATCAAGAGAATCAGAATAGTTGGAAGGACAAAGATTCTGAGAGGTTGCCAACAGCACAGCGAAAAACTCAGGCATTTATCTCTATTTCTCAGCGTCCACAGGGAAATGAAACAATGTCAGTGGTGCTAGAAACTCCTAAGCACTGGTATAGGCTCGTATATGGCTGGTGTAGAGGATTCATTTTAGAACATGAGGATTTTCTTTTGAAGGAGAAATCATAGGATCACAGATTTAGAAACAGAAGGGACCCCAGAGACCATCTAATCCAACCCCTTCATGTTTCAGATGAGAAAACTGAGGCCCATGAAGGTTAAAAGACTTGGCCAAGGTCACATAGGTAAGAAGTATGGCAGGGAGGATTTGAACTTAGATTCTCCAACTCCAGAGCCAATGTTCTTTCTGCTATGCCACAACTCATTCTTTCTGAAGTAACGATAATAGCTCACATTTAGATTGTACTATAAACAGCTAACATTGATATAGCACCTACTATGTGTCAGGCACTGTGCTAAGCAATTTACAAACATTATCACATTTGGTCCTAACAACAGCTCTGGGAGGTAGCTGTTATTATTATTCCCATTTTATAGTTGAGGAAACTGAGGCAAATAGAAATTAAGTGAGTTGCGCAGGGTAACATAACCAGTCAGTGTCTGAGGCCATATTCGAGCTCAGGTCTTCCTGGCTCCAGGCCTGCTGTCTACTCCCCTAGCTACTGTCAAGCTTACCAAGCCTTTCCCCACAGCCACCCTGGGAGAGAGTGAATGCCAGCATCATTATTCCCATTTTCTATGTGAAGAACTGAGTCTCAGAGAGCTGATGGGAATTTTCCCCAGTTATGGAGCTGACTCAGAAATGTTGGAGCTTGGATTTGAACTCGTCTCTGAGTCTGGCATCTAGTGTTCTTTCCTTCACCATGTAGCCTGCCACACAGGAGAACAGCAAGGACGACAGCTTAAGGCAAAACCACCAATGAAAGTGAAACTGTTCACTAGGGCCTTTTAACCCCTCATAAGCCAATGGAGAGCTGGTGCTGAAGAGGGCTGGCTCACCTCATTATCCTGGTGATTTATTTCACTGATATTTGATTGCTGTAGCAGCGCTGTTAAGAGTCTGTGAGGAAAAAAAGTCAAACAGGAAATGATAAGTCAATACACTGAAGAAAAAACTGGGTAATGTGCTTTCAGAAGCTGCTTACAAAGGTAGCACTGAGAACATAATTGAGTTAAAAGCAAACCTAGGGAGTGTTTCTCTGCTTTCTGATAGGAGACCAGGTCCCTGTCTGTGTACTTAGAAGCAGCAGTGTGGGCAGGGGAGGCCATGATGAGAACATGGTTAGGCTATGGATTGTGTGATAGGAAAACCAGTGGCCTGGCACATGTGCGTGATTTAGCCATAGAGGCTGATCCATCAGACTCTCGTTTTATAGCAAGTTTTCTGTAATAGATTTTCAGTTTCATGTGCAATCATCTTTTTAAAAAATTATTATATTATAGAAATGCTTGTTTTATTCCATAAATTAAAAATAAAATTAATTAAAAAAAATTTAAAAAAATTAAAAATGGCAACCTTGAAGTCTTCCCTGATTCTTCTCTCTGACATTCAATCAGTTTTTTGTCAAGTCTCCTGATTCTGCTTCCACATCTTTCATATCTACCCCTTTCTCTTCACTCGAAAGGTCATTATCTAAGGATCATAGAATCATTGGTTTATTTGGCCTCTCAATTTGGGTTAAAGCAAATGCCTGTGTTTGAAAATTTCTAGAAAATTTGGTACTCAGGGAAATAATACAATCATGAGTTTTGTTGTTAGGCTTTATTGTAAGCAGGCAAACTCATACACTATATGGCAATATAAATTAATAGCTTTATCACCATATGCCAGAAACTCACTTCAGCCTGAGGGGAAGAAATATTGGTTGGGGAGTGAATATACTCAGAGTTGGGGTTTAGGTGACAAGATTACATATCCAAAGAATGGGCTTGGTTGAGAATAGGTGATGGGTACCAGATGTAGGAGGGGGCATTCCATGTCAGATCCACATGTGGTGGAAAAGATTTTGGGGTTCATTACTACTATACTAGGCTTGGGGGAACTTAGGTAGGGGGAGTTTCTCTAATGGAACCAAAAACTGGTGGGAGGATCTAATATTAGCTAAAGGCAGCAGGAGAATGACTCAAGGCCCCTGAAGAAGGTCAAGAGTTCATTCAATAAAAAAGCTACAGGCCTTATCCACCTGTCACAGAGTTAATAGTGAAAAAATTCAAGTCTGTTTTGCCTATATGTTTCTGTGGGCATTAGGACCACTTAGCCTAAGTGACTCATGTTGGAGTCCTATCATTATAAATGTATTCTCAAACAATGACATCAAGCAAGTTTATAATGATCCCAATCATGGAGTTAGAACTGATCATGGAGGTAATTTTAATATAACTTTTTAATTTTATGGATGTTGTTGTTTGGTTTTCATTCTCAAAGTGGACCAGTGACATCAGGAGAGTGATGCACGTGAAATGGATTTAAATTAGCATTGCTGTGCAAAGTCATCAGCCTCACTCTCTACTCCAGAGTCATCGGAGCCCAATGGCAAGACATAGGTCAAGATGACTGGTGATGGCCCCAGAAGCAGTGGATGACCTTGGAGGAAACTGAGGGCCAGAAAGGGTAAAGGCCTTGCTCAAAGTCACTCAGTAGCAAGCGACAGAGCTGGGATCTGGACTCAGATCTTCTGACTACAAATTTAGGTTTCTTTTCACTGTTCCACTCCATTTAATAACACTAGAGAATACAGGCATTATTCCTGTTACCTCATGCATGCTTGGGGAGTGTTCTGCCATTTCAATTCATTCTACTTGATGCTGGCAGAACTATTGTAATAGCTTATTGTGTGTCTCCCTGGTTCTCATCTCTCTTCCATTGCTAAACCATCTTTCAAAGCTGTCAAGTTAATCATCTTAAGACAAAGTTCTAGCCCTACTCAAAAGACTCTAATGGCTCTTCCTGGTGCCTTTGAGATAAAATAGACATTTCTCTTCCTGGCATTTAGGACCCTCCACAATCTGGGGCCCAGTTCCAATCTGGCTCCAATCTACTTTTCTGCCTTATTTCATATTATTCCCTGACAAACACTATTTGCCAAACTTGACTGCTAGCTGTTCCCTAAGCTCAGCATCCCATCTCCTGATTCTGGGCATTCAGACAAGTGGTCCCTCATGTCTGGAGTGTATCTCTTCTTCATTTCTGCCTCTTAGAATTGTGGGAGTGCTCTAAGGCTCAATGGTAGCAGAGCTAACGTTCATACAGTGTTTTAAGTTTATAAAGTGCTCTACATATTTCATTTGATCTTGCAACAGCTCTGCTTGAGTGCCACCCTCTCTGTGACATCTTCTCTGATCTGCCCCTTTGAAGTACAGTTAGTGAAACATTACAACTTCCCGTTCACAGATTCAGGTCAACAACTGCTGCTTCAGCACCTTGGGTTTGAATGTGGGAGGGAGTTTACGAGGCCACATTCTTTCCCAATCATTGTCCAATGTTGAATCTTTGGCTTTGGTCTAGTTTACGGGCACCCTGGGAACCTAGAGAACTGGTGATGGGAAAAAGAAGGGGTTTGCATATGGTTCAGCCTGGGCCTTGCTTTGGTGGAAATGAAGGATAAAGTCTGTTCCTCAAAGATGATCAGATAGGCTCTTTGGGGCAGCCCCAGAACAAAGTAGACTGTTCTGGGGAAAGTCCTAGGATTAGCAAAAATAGATGTGCCCTGGAAAGCTGATGCATAACCTTTTTCATGTAAGCCAGACTTAATGTTGGAAAGTCTCATGGGGTTGATGTGCGTCAATGTATGCTTACTATGTCTGTAGCCTCCGTTCAGGAGGAACGGCCTTATTCAGCAATTCAATGCCCATATGTGTAAAGTGTCCAGTATTTCTCAAAGTGTCATGCTAGTATGTTTATGCTAGTATGGCCCAAGAGTATCACTTTTTATGCCTCAGCACCAACCCTCAGTAGCAAGTCACAGCACTTCTCAAACTCTGTTCAGTCTCCAGACCTAAAACACGGTAGGTAGCAAATAAACCCCACATCACTGCAATTTTTAAGACAGCAGGTACACAGTCAATGATAGGGCTTTGCTAGCCAAGTCCTCACTCTCTGTTTTTAGTATAAGGCTATAAATATGTGATCAGAAGATCAAGTAGCTATGAGTCCCTCAGCTATACGCATCCTGGCAGTAGCCCATTTCTACATATCTTTGTGTGCCACCCTCTTTTTCAGGGTCCTGTGACCATGGACTCTAATGATCCCCCAATCTTTGACACACACACTCCTGAGAAAACAGATGTTATCCAGGGCACAGCTATCAATGATTTTGTGAAAAGGAGTCAACATTCTGGTGCCCTTTGCTGTTTCTGTGCGGCAGAGCCCTGTGCACGACTTTCTTGAGGAATAAATACAAACAGTACAGACACACAAAAAATGCCTCCTAGGTAGCCAGAGTTATTAGAACTATGACAAGATTTGCCCTGTTTAGTCTCATGTGACTTTCTTGTTACTTTTGAAACACCAACTCAGAAACTGGGATCTTCTTGTTTTTTTATACATTATCCATGGCAGGCTCAAAGTGGGAGAAAGTCTGATGCCCTCACTGGGGATATTGGCAATAATTATTGCCTTTGGCTCCCACAACTCAACTTCCTGGCCTTTCTGGTGGTGCTAACATTCTGCCTCATAGTCATGATTGACCAGATTTGTGCCACATTAAAAAACAAAACAAAACAAAAAAATTTCCAAAAAACCAGTCCCCAAGTCTGCTGTCTCATCCTAGCTCTACCTGACAGTTACTCATATCACATAGGCAGTTCAAGAATAAGCTTTAATGAAACATATTGCTAATAGGTATAGAACTCTATCCATATCTTCTGGCAATTGAGCACCCAAATCCCAAATAATGATTTTCTTTCCTTTTACGTCTAATGAGATAAATGAAAAAAGGAGTAGAACTTTTGGCACATTGGAAGGAAAGACTAGCCTTGTACCCAGACGGTCCCTAAAAAACCCTTCACAAGAGTCCCTTGGGTTCCTGTTAAAGAGAATCACTGGTCCCTTTCCAATACCAGCATATTCAGTGTTGTACAACACAGCCCTAGTCTCTCTGCAGTCTTTACTTTATTACATTGCACACTCTCTTTTACTGATGCCTTTTGAGTGAACCACTTGATGAGCAAGAGAAGCGAGGGTGAGGCTGAACTGTGGAAGGTCTGCAAGAAGGCAGTGAGCCTGAAGTCTTCATAGAGGCCTCAAAGAATAGAGCTTTGCTCCTTTGATTTGCAAACCCTTTCTTACATTTTCATAAATCATTTCCCCCTGCATCACTTACATCATGCCTTGATTTGCAGTTAGCCAAACGTTTGCATTAGAATTGAAAGGCTCTGATAAGCAGCAGCAATTGGATGCAGTGAATAAAAATGATGCCTAAAGCAAAGAGCTCCTTTGGGGCATCTCCCTGGGTTTTGGTTTACAAGTTCCTTCACTTTGTGCCTCTTTGAAATTCTCTCCAGGTCACTGCTGGGGCTGCTTAAGGGGTAACTGATCTAAAAGTGGGTCTGAAATTCCTAGCCTGTGAAAGCAAGAAGCTCTGAATTTCAGCACAGTCCGCTTATCAGTATCATTTCAGTAAGAATTGTTTTCAGTGAACTACTGTGGCAATGTGGTTTTTACAGTAAATACGAATCTGGATTTGTAGATGTACCTGTGTGCCCCAAAGGAAACCTGAGAGCTGGTGTGGTATCAGTGATCTTCCACTATGGGAAACTGAGGTTTCAGGTTTGATCTTTTGCACATATTACCTATGTGACTCACTTCTGAGCAGAGACCACTGGTATTACAATAATCATACTAAGTGTAATGCAGAGGTTCTTTACCTGGGGTAGGTTATTGGAGGTCTGCGAACTTGGATTGGAAAAATATCACATTTTTATTTCAATGTCATTGATTTCCTTTGTAATTCTATGTATTTCATATTCATTTGAAAACCTTATTCTGAGGAGTCCATAGTTTCCACCAGACTGCCAAAAGGTTCCAAGACAGACAAAAAAGTTAAGAACCCCTGGGCTAAAGGAAAAAGTAGATTTCAATATGATTCCTCTGTGTCATCAGAAAACATTGTGAAATGATGTATGTTAATTAGCTAATGGCTGACTTTGAGTCCCAATTCTATCTATACTAGCCCACCCTTCTACTGTGGTCATTCATAAGTTTAGAATGAATTGTATTGTTGGTGACAAGACTATTGTGGCTTTATATTTACTTATTTATGTACAGAGTTGTTTCCTCAAGTAGAATGTAAGCTCCTTGAAGGCAGGGACTTTTTTTAGTTTCTAGAACACGCTTAACACAAAGTAGGCATTTGATGAATGTTTGCTGAATAAATGAATGAATAAAAACAGGTAAGGAGCCACCTAGTAAGTCTAGTAAGTCAGAGTAGTACAGGCCCAAATGGTACATTTGAAACTTATCTGCTTAAGATCATTGCTGGGAAAGAGTCTGGTTTTGCAATTATAAATATATTTTTTTTATTGCTGGGAAAAGCTGTTTTTTTAAATCACTCATCAGGAAGAAGTCAGGCCCTAACCATGTTTTCTCATGGAGAGCTGTTTGTAGGTTTAACCTATTTTCTAAGCTTCCTCATTTTGGTGAGCTTTGGTGAAATCCTATCTTCCTGTTATTTCTGTGTGATCCAATGATAACAACTGGCAAACACTGGGAATAGTCCTGGAATCCCCCGAGTTCTTTCATTTCTTTACAAGAGAGACTGAAGGAAAAAAGGGAAATCTTTTGATCTCTTTTCCAGGGAACCCTGCCAAGTGGGAATCTTGCTTTCTCCCACACCCAGATTCTGGTCTGATTCTGTCCTATCTTTAAGGTTGGGGTCCAAACTGAAGTGGGCATCGTATATTTTCACCATTGTGTTATCTCATGGTTAGAGATCAGAGAAGACAGGTAAGAGGCTGGGGTGTGTCCTTGAGAAGAACATAGATTTTAGAGTTGGAAGGGACCATAAAGGTTCCTTTCCTTTAGTCCCATTCCTTTACTTTATAGATGAGGACATTACCAGAGAAGATCTAACATCTCCAAAGACACACCAGTAGCAAGGAAACAGAAGTAGAGCTTGCATCCAGGGCTTCTAATTCCAAATCTGAGGCTTTTCCATGTAGACCATTTTATTGTTTCTGTGTCATCCTTCAACAGTAGGAATTAGGGGATGCCTTTAAGGAATGGCTGATCCAATGAGTTGCTGTCATACTGGGCTTTGAAGGACTTCCCTAAGATCAGGGCTAGATGACAGGTGAAGGGGCCTAGAACCTAGGGGGTGAAGTATGGTGATGGTCAGGAAATAATGGAGAAATATTTGACTTGATAACAACAAAAGCTTTTTGCCCAGTTTAGTCCACAAGGAGGTTTTTTTATGCTTTCTAACATAAAACCCCATCTTTTTTTTTTTAAGCACTAGTATTCTTCAAATGATGCCATCCAACCAAGAAGTGGAATATAACAACTGCCAAAGAAGAAGACTATGGAGACATGGTGAGTTTAAGTAGGCAGCAGCTTATTAGATATTACGCCTTCTGCAAAAGGAGTAGCATGATAGATATCACCAAGGAAATATGTGATTAAAAAAGGAGGTGGGTTGGTCAGCTAACAAGGATGAGTGATAAGAGGTAGACAACCTGAGTGAGTATGCACAGAATATGAAAAAGACCTAGAGTAAGGACCCTGGCATGATAATCCTCTCCCAAGGATTTGTTGGAGGACATGGATAGAAAGAGAGGAAGTGTAGCATAGGGGATAGAGGGCTCGCCTTGGATTCAGGGAGACCTGGGTTTGAGTATTGACAAACTGACTGTGTAACCCTGGATAAGTCACTCAACTTCTTAGTGACTCAGACAGCTCCCTAATATTTTAAGTAACATAAGTTGCTGGTTATTGATGGAGGAAGTTTCTGCATGTGGAGGTATCCATATTGATGAAACAAAGCTCCAGACCCCCTCGTTCCTCCCCACTCTCACCCCATACAAGAATGACATAGGGTGAGATGGTAGAAATAGGTCTTGGTCTTCACCACTAAAAGGAATACCTAAATCAATGATTCATTGGAGTACATGCATCCCACAAAAGGTATCACTTTTGATTGCCCTACATTGGGGGATGGGGTGATCTCTGTATACTAAGGGCAGGACAAAGGGGAAAGAGTAGCAGGAGGTACTTAGGTCAAGTATTTGGCAGAACACACTGAACATAAGGAAAGATCTTTGACTATAGAGTTTATTCTCTGGGTAGGCAACTATCTTGGTTGGATTGGGATTTTCCTAGTGGGATAAGAACGAACTAAGTGACCTTATGGGGACTTGTCAACAATTCCATCTAAACACATGTACGTACTTCACATCTGACTCGGCAGTTGCAGCATGTAGTGGCAGGCGCCCATTTTTATCTGCAATGTTCTGTTTGGCACCATTTCTGAGCAGACTCACACAGCCTTCTAGCCATCCCTGGAAGACAGAGGACAAGGTTAAAGAATAAACCAATGACCGCATAACACCATAATATGCCTTCTCTCTCTGTCTCTGCTTCTGTCTGTCTCTTTCTGTCTGTCTTTCATTCTCTCTATGCCTCTGTGTCTCTCTGTCTGTCTCTCATACTTTTGCTCAGGATTCTTATCTGTAAATATGCCCTGTCTTGTTGCAAAATGCCCCGTTCAAAGGCAATAAATCAATCATAAGCACTTACTATATGCCAGGCACTGTGCTAAGTGGTGGAGACACAAAAAGAGGCAAAACACAGTCCTTGTCCTCAAGGGGCTCCCAATCTAATGGGGCACTAGGAAGGTTCTTTTGAAAGTACTTCTGTTCCAAGCCTGGATACCTTGGCTGAGACAGCAAAATACTGAGATGGGTTTACTCCTTAGTAATATATCTTCTATCTTAGTAATATATCTTCTTACCCTTTAGAATGATGCCATTCAACTATAGTAATTCCTGCTACATTTGTCTCAAAGAATGTGGGTCACTAATCAAGTTGTCAATAGATGGAAAGGAACACAAATAAGTTAAAATTTAACTTTTAGTTAGAAAAATACCTCAAGGTCTCTCTACTCTGTTCCAAATCAGGTTCCTGCCTTCTTCCATTCTAGTATAGAGAAGAAGGTAAAACAATGTCAAAGGTTTCATAATTGTATCAGAAACATGAGTGAATAGATTTGTTTCCTGGATGGCAAAAATAGCAGCAATAAAAATACAAATTTCCTGTGAGTCAGGCCAACCTATCTGCAAAACAATTTGAAATTGTGATAATAAAGTATCTAAATAAAGTATCAAAAGTCCCTACTCTTTGACCAGAAATCCCTCTGTTATCAATACTGTAGCAAGGAGGTAAATGACAGGAAAAAGAACCCATAGACACAAAAATATTAATAAATAACATCACTTTTCAAAATAGCACATAACTGCCAAAAATAGACATCCATTGATTAGGGCAATAAACAAGTAGTGATATAAAAAGGTAATGGAATACATTGAGGAATAACAAATGTTAAGAATTCATGTTAAGACTATTAAGAAGCGTAGGAAGACGTATGACCTAATACAGGGGGAAGTAAGCAAAATCAGAAAAATAATATACATAATGATTACAACAGGCTAAATGGAAAGAGCAACAATAACAATGAAACTGAACACTATTTAATTGTAATGACAAAGCTCAGGTCCCCAAAAGAGAGAAAATGTATCTCCTCATCTTTGTAGACATGGAGAATTTGGAGCACAGAACATTTCATGTATTATCACTAATTTTTGCTGAATTTTTCTATTCTTTAATATTGAATGGGACATATTTGGAAATGAAGGTGACATAAAAGCTAAAGATGCACATACATTTTTAAAAAAATGAAAATTTACCAAGTTGGAGGAGATTGATACAGATGTAGAGAGAAAGAGACAAAAAGAGAAAGACAGAGAGAGAGAGAGAGACAGACAGACAGACACACAGAGACAGAGACAGAGAGGCAGAGAGACAGAGACAGGCAGACAGAGAAAAACAGAGGGAGAAAATAGAAAGAGAAATAGAATCACATTAAAATTGGTAGATGAAATTATAATTTTGGGTATAGTTTTGTGAAACTTGGAAAAATATATTTGAAAATGGTAGTTGGTGTCAAAGTCTCTTTTGGCCCTCCTAACAAAAATTGGCACAGTATACTGCTTTGGGTATTCATTCACCAAATCATTAAATTACTTTGTCAAATGACCCCATAAAATCGAGTAAGAGAAACAAATATAGATAATTAGGAGAACAAAAATAAAAGCCTTTTGTTTTGTTTGGAATATGCTTCAAATCTCAAAAGTTTTACAGCATTTGAACAGACACAGATCTTGCAGCTATATATTTCATAGTTTGGAATATTTTTGTATATTTTGTAAGTTACTGAAATTCAGTATTTTTTCCTAAAAATCAGAAGCTCACTTGATTTATCTACATAGTATGTAACAGTCTAATCTAAATTTGTTACATACAAATTATTTGCATTATTGCTATCTGGGATAATTTTTAAATCCTTACCTTACTCAGTTTTCTCTGGCTAGTTAGCATGCTCCTAAGCTTTCTCCCTCTCTCACTTCTGCCCTTTCTCTCCACTCTTATGTTTTTTTCCATCCAGCTCCTACAAAATTGGATTTCATTCCCTGAATTAGTTTAAATCAGCTATGACTGAGGAGGTAAACCTAGGCATAAAGAGGAGGGGAGACCAATAAGTGAGTTGCTGAGCTTTAGAACATGTGTGGATATAGCCTTTGTGCTGGGTTATACAGAGCATGTGCAATATTCTCTCTCTGCTGCCGATTTAATATGCAGCACTTTGAGGATCTAGTTTCTAGCCGTGCGTAGCTGAGGGTCCACAGTGACAATAATGTGATGATGAAAAGTCTTCTGGCTTGCCAAGAAGAGAGAAACTTAATGACACAGTAAAAATTGAGCCAGAGCAAAGTGTGTTTACAAAAGCTTTGAGTAGGCACTCTCTCACTCTCTTCTCTGACAATTTTTGAGTGAGGGGGATTGGTAAGGTGAGGGAGAGCAGGCCCTATTATCTATCTGGTTGCCATGTGGCCACATGGTACCTCTTTTTGTTGTTTGTTTTTTACTTCATGTGTTTATTCTGTATTGATCATAGGTGTTTGAGTATCCAGAGATGAACTGCATCAGGGTATGGCCCCGTGAACTTTGAAAGTTCAGAAGAACCTTCAGAGAGTCAGCAACTGTAGTCAGCAAGAGAGGTCACTTGAGCCTATATCCCAATATTCCAATAGCTGTGTCTGGTGAGGAATCAACCCTGAGAAGTGACCTGCTTGACTCAGCCCTGTTGGAAGTCAACCCTGTAACCAAGATACTACATCCTGCAAGCAAGAAAGCAACTTGTCCGTGAATGATGGCACGTTTAGAAAAGAGCTTGGTGGAGACTCTGAAAAGATACAGGAGCTTCAGGGCCAGGGGGTACCTTTCAGCGGGTGCATCTTCTCCATAGGACTTCTCCAAGACTGCTGTACTTCAAGTCTGAGCCCACCCAATGTCCCAATGGACATCATATGTGTGTCTGTGGAGCAGGACACAGTGTGCCCACTCATATGGAAGGATATTTCTGTAATCACTGTCTTTGATATACCTGCTTAGTAGACACCCCTTTCTAAAAGTTAATTGACTCTGGGTAATTGATATTAACTGGCTAATCAATAATAGGAGCAGCACACAAGTTGGGGATAATGAGCAGTAGTACTAAAAACCAGCCCTTCAGGAAGATTTCCCTTGAGGGGAAAAGTAGTCAACTACCCTCTGGGGTCCTTGCCTGCCAGTGAATGTGAGAGTTGGGTAAGTGAACTTAGAGGGGGTGTCACATATGCCAAGAATCATGTCACACATTCCAATGTTAGACCAAAAAAATGGTGTCTGTGCCAGTACTTTCCATTAATGCAAATAACTGAGAAGTTGGCCATTTTTTTTGTTTCTATCTTTAACGTATTCTATTACTCTGTTGATTTGAACCTGTGCATTCTCCAAGAACCATAAACTTGAATTCAAATCTGGTCTCACACTTACTAGCTGTGTGACACTGGGCAAGTCATTAAGCTCTGTCTGCTTCAGTTTCCCCAGCTACTAAAACTGGAATAACAATAGCACCTACCTCACAGGTTTGTTGTGAGAATGAAATGAGATAATTTTTGTCAAGGGCTTAGTTAGCACAATGCCTGACACATAGGAGATGCTTGGTTGAGTCATAGTATTGACTTAGTTTGAAAGCTTGATGAATTTGCAATAACACCAATACGGATATTACTGATACCAGTACAGCTCATGGCCCTTTCCAGCCCTCTCATCTTGTGGGATTCTTATCTGTATCTTTCTGTATACCACCTATGGAATATTCTCTAGAACAGTGCGACACCTTCCTCTGGTTATTTTTCTATTTTTTGAGGGGGGAGGGGAATTAGTACAATCTAGAAGCTGCTCATCTGTTGGTCTTTCATTCATATATATGGCTTTTTCTTTTAGTTACATGTCCTTGAAAATGTCATTTAAACTACTGCAGTTCTTACGTACAAATCATTGCTGGTAATAGACTGTAGTTTCCTCACACTGGCCATATGTCTCTCCCTTGCCTTTTGGGTTATCTGCAATCATGACACTTCTGAGGCTATGGTATTTCATCTGATACAGTGCTTTAAGGTCAGCAAAGCACTTTATAATTATTATCTTATCCTCACAACAACCCTGGGAGGTAGATACTATTATTATCCCCATTTTACAGATGAGGAAATTGAGGCAGACAAGGGTTAAGTGACTTTCCCAGGATTACAGTGCTACTAAGTGTCTGAGGCAGGATTTGAATTCAGGTCTTCCTGACTTCATGGCCAGCAGTGCATGCCTCTTTAACCTGCAACAATCTGCTTCCTCATTGGATGGTGTACTCCCTCATATTCCTGCTGGCTTTTCCTATTTAAATGCTTCCCTTGGTTTCTGTAGAGGTCCAGCACTTTATCGACTTAGCTACCCCTCAACATTAGGAAAAAATACTTAAAATTTTCTTCATTTGCTGCTTATATAAATCAAAGAAAACTTTCTTACTGCTACACATCCATCATATCTTTAATTCTTTCCCCCCTGTATTGCCTCCAACTTCTCTTTTCCTGTGATGGACATAAAGTTATACCTCATAAGTTGCCAGTGATAAGCTGGTGCGCCCACAGGAATCCTGAGTATTAATATTGGCTCCCATCTTCAGCAATAGCTTCACTGTGTCAACCTGACGACCAGAGACAGCATGTATCAAGGGGGTACAACCTGGGAGAAAACGTTTAAACACCCCTTTAAAATGTTGCATTCATTAGATTCATAAGCAGTAATTTATTTTATGACATCAAGTCCCCTGGAGACAAATGAATAGGAACAAAACCCCAGATGTTCAACATCTGTATCAAGCTTATAAAAGATTTTGGCAAAAGAAAATTGCTTTTGTATCTTGTATAAATTAATTCTCTATCCAGGCTTATTTCAGCATATTTTGGAAAGAAAAGCCCCATTAATTAATCAAATTTAAAAATTTGACTAAAAATTCCATATGACAGTCTCATAATGGTCTATGCAAACATTAATTATACAATAATGAAAATAGGAAAAGATATTAAGCAACATTTTGTGGGTAATTTTCTACAACAGACCACATAATCATTGTCACATGGTTACACTGGGAGATGAAGAGAATCTAAGATCACTGTATGTATTTAATTTGGTGGAGCAAAATGCAGAATTGAAGATCTTTCCAACATGGCCCTTCCCATGCATATGATGACATTATCCAAGGGTCTATGAAAGACGTGAATACAGAGATGATTCACTGAGCATCGATAACATCAAGGGAGGTATAAAACAGGAAGGCGTCTTTCAACGAATCAACAAGCATCTAGTAATCACTTACCACGTGATGTGTTGGAGATAACAATGACAAACATGAAATAGTCACTACCCTTAAGTTGCTTATGTTGTATTGGGTAAGATTCAAAACAAATACAAGGTAATTTTGGGAAGGGCACTACAAGACATGGGGATAGGCTTCAGGTTGAAGGTGGTCTGTGAACTGAGATTTGAAAGAAACAAGAGCTTCTAAGCGGCAGAGGGAAGGGGGCTTTGCATTCTGGCATGGGTTTGGGTAGGGGGACTGTCAGTGAAAGGCACAGCCAAGTTGTCTGGCTCACAGAATGTGGGGAGGGAAGTAATATATAATAAGATGAGGAAGGTAAGTTGAGGCCAGGTCATGCAGGGAGTTAAAAAATAATAGGTTTATTATTTTTAAATGAATTAATGAATATTTAAAAATTTATCAGTTTTAGTTTCTAATACAGTAAATATTGATAGATAAAACCCACATATGGTAAATGCTCTTTGGGGATCCTCAATAATCTTTTTTAAAAGAAAAACAACTATATTTTTCAAAACAAAAATAATGAGAAAAGTGGCAATGTTTTGCATATTATTGCAAATGAAGGAGTTTCTATTTGATCCTTAAGACAATAATGAAATGTTTGAGTGTGTTGGTGAAATGGTCACACCTATGCTTTAGGAAAATCACTTTAGCAGCTAAGCTATTTGGAGGATGCACTGGAAAGGAAAGAGCCTTGAGGTAGGGAGACTAATTAGGAAACCATTGCAATAGTCCAGGAAAAAGGTGATGAAGGCCTGAACAGGGGTTGAGGTGGATTGTGTGATTGGAGCAAAGGGAATGGATATGAGAGATGTTGGAGAGGGAGAATGTCAAAATTTGATAACTGAATGGATTTGTGGGGTGAGTGCATGAGGAGTTGAGGATAGTATTGAGACTGTGAACCTAGGAAACTCAAAGAATGGTGGTGCCTTTGAAAGAAATAGATAGGTTTGGACAAGAACTGGGTTTTTGGAAAAAGTTCTTTTTGTTGAATGTTGAGACACCTGCAAGACATATAGTTTGAAATGTACAATGGGCAATTGGTGATGAAGGAATGGTGCTCAAGAGAGTGACTGGTAATGGAGAGGTAGCTTGGAGTCCCCAGCAATAGGGTTGATAATTAAATCCCTGGGAGCTAATTAGTTTGCCTAATAAGAGAGCATAAAAAGAGAAAAGGGCCCAAAACAGAGCCCTGGGGTACACCCCAGTTACAGAGCAGAATGTGGGTAATTATCTAGCAAAGGAGACTGAGAAGGAGCCTTAGGTAGACAGAAGGATAACCAGGAGGAAAAGAGTGTCACAGACACCCAGAAAAGAGAATTTTCCAGAATAGGGTCATCAATATTGTCAAATGTTGTAGAGAGAAAAAAAAAGATGAGGATTGAGAAAAGGCCACCTGGCCTGGAGAGAACAGATTCAGTTGAGTTATGAGGTCAGAAGCCAAGCTGCAAAGGATTGAGAACAGAGTGAAAGGAGAGGAATGGGAGGAAATGAAATAGACAGCTTTTTTGAAGAGTTTTGAAGACAAAGCAGAAGTGACACAGGGTGATATCTTGGGGGCATAGTAGGGTCTAGTGAGGGTTAATTTAAGGATGGGAGAGACTTCAGAGTATTTGTAAGCTGCAAGGAAGAAACCTGTAGTTAGTGACTGAATTTTAGAGAGTAAGAGAATGGGGATAATTTTAGGGACAATTGCTGGAGAAAGCAATGATTAAAAATGTTATTTATGTTAATAGATAATAGGTTTATTATTTTTAAATGAATTAATGAATATTTAAAAATTTATCAGTTTTAGTTTCTAATACAGTAAATATTGATAGATAAAACCCACATATGGTAAATGCTCTTTGGGGATCCTCAGTCTTTTTTAAAAGAAAAACAACCATATTTTTCAAAACAAAAATAATGAGAAAAGTGGCAATGTTTTGCATATTATTGCAAATTTCTTTAATGTCTGGCTTAATAGAAGACAGCTGGTCCTCATTTCTGTTTCCACATTAACTTTATTGTGATATGTTGTTTTGGTTGAAGTATATGAAGAAAATCTAGTCTTACATAGACATGTAGTTGGAAAAGAGAGGGGTAGTTTAATAAGCCACGCTGCAGTTAAATGGAGGGACAGCTTGTAGGTTCTCCTTGGACAGGCAAACAAGGAAGTTGGCAGTTGCAAAAAATATCATGTTATGGAATCCTTGGCCATCTAGCCTTGAGGTGCTTACAGTGAGAACAAGCATAGACCTGCTATAGGACTAGTTGGGGGTGGGGGGTGATAGGGCCTTGAGAGCCAGACATGGTTCCAAACCAATTGAGCATTCTCTCTCCAGAGAGTGGGCTTTCTCATTTCTAAATGACCACTTTGTTCTATTTTTCAATGTTTCTTCTAGTTTTCTGCCATTGTGTTTTTTATTTTTACAGATCAGACAACATATGCTAATCTTTTTAAAAAATAAAGCTGAAATTGAGGCATGTCAGTGATTTAAATCTAGCCCATTTTTCTCTGAGAGGCAGCATGATGTATTGGACAGAGAATTGGCCTCAGAGTCTGGGTTTGAGACTTTCTTATTTCTTACATCTTTTTCCCTCTTCACTAGAGTTTTATTTTATCTTTAAAAATTTTTAAAAATAATTTCATTGATATTTTTTGTTTTGCATCAACTACATTTCCTTCTATATCCCTTTCCCCATCCATCCCAAAGGGTCTTCCCTTATAATAAAGAATAAGAAAAAGAAACAACAAAAAAGGTCTAAAAAACCACTTAAAAAGTTTGATGCTATCTGCAGTATTCTTGGTTGTAATTCTAGCTTCTCTGCCTTCTAGAATATCATATTCCAAGACCTTTGCTTCTTTAAGTGGTGACTGCTAAATCTTGTGTGATCATGTCTGTGGCTGCACAGTATTTGAATTATTTCTTTCTGGCTGATTTGCTTTATTTTCTCCCTGACCTGGCAGTTTTTAATTTTGGCTATAATATTCCTGAGAGTTTTCATTTTGAAATTTCTTTCAAGAATTAATTGGTAGATTCTTTCAATTTCTACTTCACTTTGGTCTCTGGTTCTCAGGTATCTGGGCAGTTTTCCTTTATAATTTCTTGAAATATGATGTTTAGACTATTTTTATCATGGTTTTCAGCTAGTCTAATAATTCTTAAATTATCTCCTTGACCTTGATCTCCTTAATCCTTGGTTTTCCAGGTCATATGAGAGATTTAAGATTTTCTTTTTTTCAGTCTTTTGACTTTATTTTATTGTTTCTTGATAGCTCATGGAGTCATTAGCTTCCACTTCTGCTTTTTAAGGAACTCTTTTTTTTCAGTGAGGTTTTGTACTTCTGTTACCATTTGGCCAATTCGGCTTTTTAAGGAGTTATTTTCTTTAGTATTTTTGTGCTTCTTTTTACCAAGATGTTAATTCTCTTTTTATAATTTTCTTTCATAATTTTCATTTCTTTTCCCAATTTTTTCTTCTACTATTCTTATTTAATTTTTAAAATCATTTTTTGCTCTTTTAAAAAAATCTCTTTCTTTAGTTTTCCTATGAATTATTTTTGGTCTTGTGTACAATTGGAATTTTTCTTTGCAGCATTGCATGTAAATGTCTTCAAGTCAATGTCTTCTTCTGAGTTTGGGTCTTGATCTTCTCTATCACCATAGCATTTTTATGGCAACTTTCTTAAAAAAATTGTTCATTTTTCCAGCTTACTTCTTAATTTTAGTCTTTATATTAGGGTTGGGCTCTACTCTCCTTTGGAGAGTGGGTTTGGGGAATGACCAGCCTAAGCTTCTGTCTTTTATGTCCTTCTGCTACTTTTATAGCTTGGTCTGGGGGTATGTTAGGTTTTGGTGCTTCTAATATGATGAGATCCACAGAGAAGTCTGTTCACTACCCTGCTGGTCTGCGCTCTGGCCCTTACCCAGGTAGGACTTCTGTTTCCTCATGACTGTAACTGCTCCTCTTTACCCTGGAAATGTGACTTGGAACTGAGTAATGGTCAACAGAGCTGCCAAATGACATCCAATCTTGCTTCCAGTGCTAGTCCCCTTCCTATCCCTGGGGGGAAGCTACTGTTGACCCATAATTCACAGAAGTGCCACTTCCACCATGCTGCACTCCCAGCCCAGGGTATATAGACCTTTCTTTCTGTCTTCCTATGCTTTCCTAGGCTAGAAAAATGACTCACTATGATTTTTTCTTGGCTTTCCAACTAATAATTCTGTTTGGTATTTTCTGTGGTCATATTGTAGAAGAGGTTTGGGAGAGAGTTGGCAGTTGTTACCTTTTGTTCCACCACCTTAATTCTGCCTCTCTGATCACTATTTCTGAATGGGGAAAAGAGGTTCCCATGTTTTATATCCAAGACTTGAATTCCTTTTGGCCACCAATTCCAGAATGAACATGCATAGCCAACAGCAAAGAAATCTATTTATTGAAGCTGATTGCAAAAAAAAAAATCCCAGAAAGCAGACATAGTATTCATATGAGAATATAAACCAGGTAACACACAGAGTAAATGAGCTCTCCCTCTGGGAATGAAATAATTAATCTCAGCTGAGAGAGAGTCCCAGCCTTCACCCAAAGGGGAAATTTTTTCTTAAGTCTTCAGTTTAGCAAGCTGTAGATAGAGACATGATAGAGACTGCCAATTCCTCTCATGTCGGCTTATTCTCAGAGTCTTTCTCTCCTTTTAGTGACCTCAAAAGAGGTAGGCATTGAGGATCTTCTTCTCAAATCCAGAAGCCAGAAGAAGCCCATGATCTCTCTTCTTTCTCACTCCCATCAACTCTACCATCCCTTGCTGTAGACACAGGACATTGATTGAAAGTAAGGAGGACAGAGTCCTCCATATGATTTCCTTTTGAGCCAAGAATTACACAGTGATTAAGTACTAGACACTGTGCTAAGTGCTGGGGATAAAAAGGAAAAAGGGAAAAAGTCCTTGACCACAAGGAGCTTATATTCTAATGGGGTAGGCAATATATACAGATAAACATTTAAATACATACATATGGTACATCCAAAGTAGATACAAGATAATCTCAGAGGGGAAGGCACTAGAAGCTAGGGAGAAGGTAGTGGGGTTGATGGGACCTGGAAAGGCCCCTGTAAAAGGTGGTACTTGAGACAGATTTGAAGGAAGCCAGGGAATTTGAGAGGTGGAGACATAATTTCTGGGTAATTTAATCATTTTATTAATAATGGCAGCACTTAATAAAAGGATGGTCATTTGGCTGTCTCTCTCTTAGACCAAAGACAATCATGGTGGCAGGCTCATGGCTTATGTGCCCATTGGAAGAGGGGTGTTCCTGAGGGTGACAATCAACTCTGATTATTTAACAATTAATGAGACAATGAATATTACAATTAGGGGCTGAACCTATTCAAATGAACTTTGATTATGTCATTTACTTCTAAGTTACCCCCAGCTTTGGCCAATCTATTCAAATAACTTATCCCCACTCAAAACTGAGTAGAGCACAATGAATTACCTACCTGGATGGGGTCTGAACAAGAAAGTTAGTCCAATCTCATTATCAGCAATGTCTTTCAAGAGACTGAACTTTTAAAATCAGGACTTTAGAAAACGGGGAATCTCTAGATCTCCCCAAATCATTGGTTATTAATAATCATTTTTCTCAGTTGGGAGGATAGGAAAATTTTATATTTGCTCCTAGATGTAACAGGTAACAAACTGGAATTTACTGAACTGAGGAGTAACATAGTCAGATTTGGTGCTAAGAAAATCACTTGGGCAGCTACATGGAGAATGGATTGGAATGGGGAACAATTTGGTAAAGAAACTAATCAGTAGGTTATTGGAATAGTATAGGTGAGAAGTAATGAAGTTATGAACTAGCATGATGACTGTGTGAATGAAGGGCCGGTGATGTATATGATGAGTGTTGTAGAGATAAAAATGACAAGATTTAACATCTGGTTGAATAAGTGCAGTGAATGAAAGTAAGGAATTAAGGATGATGTTGAGTATGTGAACCTGGGTGACTACAAACATGGTGGTGTCCTTAAGCAATAGTGAAATTCAGAAAATTGGTGGATTTAGGGGCAAAGAAAAAGAGTTAGATTCTAGATCTTTTGAATTTGAGATACTTCTGGGAAATCCAATTCAAAACATCCAATGTGCAGTTGGAATTTAGGAAAGACTAGGGCTGCCTCTAGACAGATCTGAGAGTCATCTGCATAGAGATGTTAATCAAACCCATGGGAGTTGATGAGATCACTAACTAAGACAGTACAGAGAGAAGAGGAGAGAGTCTTGGGGTGTGACCAATACTACAAGTTCTGTTACCCCCATGTCATACTTGCAGTTGGGCTGGCTGTGGCCCACCACATCTATTTTGCAAATTAGGAAACTATCTATTTCAGGCATAATATGAAAGTTGTAGAAGACCTGGATATGGTCTAGTGGTCTACAGAGAGACTGAAGCAAGCAAAACAATCCTTGTTTCTTCCCTGTAGAACAGCTTGTCAGATACCATTTCATTAGTATGGCTTATCTTGGAAGGCTGTCCCAAAAAGGCAAAATTAACATTTCCTAGTAGGATGATGAATAGGCATCTTACCTTCACTGTCACAGCATTCTAGAATTGAAGGGTCTTCCCGAATCACAGCAGTCAGTGTGTTGACATCTCCGTTTTCTGCTGCCTGGTAAACCAAGGTCAGGTCAGTTTCCTCAGCTGAGTCACCTTAATGAATGAGAGACAATGGCTAGACTGTAGCTGCTAGAGTGTATGAAGTTTCTTCACTGTGACAAATTACACACAAACAAATAATGATAATAAAAATGGCTCTTTTTGAAGTACTGAAGACTCAGAAAGTTCTGTAATGATCCAGTGAAGTATACTAATCATGCATTTCATAGTCTCTACCATTTCATTGCATGATATACATTGATCACCAAATTCAGGCTTAAGAATAATTAACCCTTCTGCAATTTCTAGTGGCAATGGCCTGGTTCTGAGTTACCATTGTAAACTGATCCATTTTTCACAAACAAATCTCCATGACTCAGTCATTTATTCGACATTTCATTGTTGACATAGTGTTGGCTGAGTTTATGTGGATTTCATCCATGGGGGATCTTTTGTCTCCAGTCTTGGATCTTTGCTCTCTCATAAGTTACATCTTCAGGTAAGTGCCTTTTGATCACAACAGATAAATAAAATAGCATCTACCTGTTACCAGCCTTTCCTGTTGCTCAGTGAAGGAATGTCAGCTTTTCCCAGAAATATTCTGTGAATTTTAATGTTTATTATCTATTTTAGAAATCTTTATCAATCTTCTTCCTCTTTTTTTTTTTACAAGGAAGTGTTAATCTTTCTATAACTGCCTGTATATGATGGGTTCAATATTTTGTTAATATAATATGGGTTTTTGTTAGGATACTTTCCAAATTTATTATAATCTCTTTTACAGTGTTGAATGTATACTTTAAGTCTGGTATTGCGTAGGACTCAGGGATGGGGAACCTGTGGCCTTGAGGCTACGTGTGGTCTTCTAGGTCCTTGGGTGAGGCCTTTTGACTGAATCCAAGTTTTATAGAAAAAAATCCTTTTTCTTAAAGGGATTTGTTCTGTAAAGTTTGAATTAAGTCAAAGGGCCACACTTGAGGACCTAGAGGGTCACATGTGGCCTTGAGGCTGCTGGTTCCCCACCCTTGGCATAGGTGTTAATTATTTTAATTTTCAGTTTTAAATTCAGGATGCCAATAAATATTTTGGCATTTAGTCGCAACCTTCTCTTGCTTATTGTTATACTTGAGGTGTTTTGTTTGAGGAAGACCAAGGTATTTGTAGATTTCACCTTCATCCATTGGTTCAATGTTACCTCTAGGTTCAAGCTTGAAGCTTTGAGTTTTTGTCTTTCCTTGGTGTATGCTAAGAATTCTACACTTATCTAGTCCAAATGACTTTTATGTCACTGGAGAAAGATTCCTTGAGTTGAAGTATCTGTTTGCTTTGTTTCTTAGTGTAGGCAGATAGTGGCCATCTATGTACGTCGAGTGGTTAATTAGCGATTTTGATTCAATTCCTCCTTGAGAGCCATACTTAGTCCTATTTAGGAAAAGTGATGATATATTTAAGGCTAGGCAGAACCATATTGGGTTTAAACTATTCCCTTCAAAATGTCAATGTAAAATTGATTATAAATAAATTTTTCTTCATATAGTTGTGTTGGTGATGCATTTTAAATAGAGAATTCATGTGAACATCAAATACTTTGTGGTCTTGATATACTTGGTTCTACCTACATATTTGCAGTACATGAATCATGAGTCTGGAAACGAATCAAAGGTTTTGCAATAATAAACAAAGGCAATATAAATATTAAGGCACTTTCAGGAAACTTGTTGAATAATTTCTAAATCAATACGCCACTTTTTATGTCCTGGAGACTTTTTGGTCCAACCTTTTTACTCCTCAGTCAATATATTATTTTCTTGTGAGTTTTATAAATTTTAAAAAATGAAACAGTATGAATTGTTTCTGAGTTCTGTGTTCTGTTTCTGTGAATGATGTGTATAAAATATATAAACATATAATTGTTTTGTATTTGAAAGAGTCACTCTTGTTCTCATTTCTTCTGAGAGGAACCTGGGAGAGTGCCTTGCTAGAGTCACTATGTGTCACTGTGAAGTGGCTGAACTAATGATGGATTATGTCCAGCCCCACTGCTTTCCAGGTTTTTAAGAGAAGAGTTTTAGTCACTTCCTTTGACATAACTCTTCTAGAATTCATTACTTTAACGGTGCCCAAGGTTTCTGTTTCTTGTTTTGTCCAATTAGAGTTTTCATTATGTTGGGCTGCATGCAATCATATTGTTGACCAGAAATTTTTCACATCCTCTTTATTTGGAGATTCTTTTTGCCTCTGCTTTTCTTTTCTAAATTTCTCAAGCCTCTGTAGTAAAGTTTTTTTTGTTAATGTTGAATTTTTTAATTTTGTTCTTTGCTCTGCTTTGATCCTGTATCTTTGTAAACCCTTGACTCTCATTTTTAGTCACTAATTAAGGAAATCTAGATTTTCTAGGTTGCTTTTGTTTTTTGTTTCATGATTCTTTTTTATTGCATCTAATTGGACAACTTGGGCAATTTTCTACTGTGAAAACCAGCTTGATATTAATGTAATTTTCCCTTGTTTTCCAGAAGATATTCAAAAGTTTTCTCAAGTAACTTCTGCCATGATGGTGTTTGACACCTCCCCTTAGCGGTATTCCCTGTCAGCTTCACCTTTCCTTGTTCTTGCCATAGCAACAGCCACAACATATACTACTGTATTCAGAGGTCCCCAAATAGTTTTATACATTTTATCAAAAACTTTGGGAGAGTGTATTCATTCATGAGGGTTATAGTAGACACTAGCTTTTTTGAATTACTCTGTTTTAATATAATTGGTCTCCTTGTTGGGTTCATGTTGTGAGTTTCAAAAAAGGGTTTTTAAAAATTCCAGTCCAAGCACACCTTTCAAAATTATTTGTTCACTGCACTATTTTTGTTATCTGTTTGATTGAATAATCAAACAATAATAATTAGGTAGATATTAATCTACCTAATAGAATTTTCGTAGTTTGAATTGAGAGATCTTCAGTGACCTTAGGTTCTTTAACTTTTCTGTCTTCTAGATTTTAGTAGTTTCTTAATTTCATCTCTTTTTTTGCCAATCTAGGCTTAGGTTATCTTAAAAATTATTTTTAAAATGTTACTTAGTTATTTTAAAAATGTTTCTCTTGTGCTGGTCATCAATGTTTTGTTGTTATGAAGCATTTGCTGATGTAACCTGGCTTTGGTGCATGCCTCAGTCACCGAAGTGGAGACACAAATGTGGGAGATGGCTGGAACTTACTTCTAGGAAAAGACATTCTTCATTTTCCTGCCACGTAAATGGGAACAGCTTCTTTCCATTGGCTGTGTAGTTGGAATGGACTAGGTCTTTAAAATGACCAGACTGAATGTTTTCTCTCTCTCTCTCTCTCTCTCTCTCTCTCTCTCACTGTCTCTCTCTCTCTGTCTCTGTCTCTGTCTCTCCTCTCTCTTTCTCTCTCCAGTGCCATCCAGAGGTGAAGGTTCTGTTCACTCACAACATGGGCATCGTGAAGTTAACTAGGTAGAAGGAAGTACTACCTTTTCCCTCCCTTTAGGCCTGTGACCCCAAGAAATGGGCTTGAGGCTTGAGATTTTAGTCTGTTTTGGTTTTCCTTTTCAGGAAAACACATACATACACACATATACATACATATATACGTGTGTGTGTGTGTGTGTGTTTGTGTGTGTGTGTGTGTAGTAGAGTCTGAGCCATGGTGATGCTGGAGCCAGAATTCCAGGCTGCATATTGCTACCACGTCAGCAGAGAAGCCTTGGGTGCCGGAACCTGAGCCCAGGTTCTGGGATTCCATCTCCTCACATAGAACTCTAAAGGACACATGAAATAGACCCCAAGCCCATTTATTGAGACCATAGAGTTTGAGTGGAAGGGGACCCAGCTTAGGTGCTCCTGCTGTGGGTGAACAGGACCTTCATCTGTGGATGCTGAAACCATCTCATTCTGATAGTTTTAAAGATGCAGATTGGTCAGTGGAAAGAGGCTGCTCTTCCCCTCGTGGTAACACAGAATGTCTTCTCCCAGAGGCAGGTCTCTGCCCTCTCCCACAAGGGTGCCTCTATCTTGGGTGACTTGGAAGTGCACCAGAGCTGAGTTAAACTGATAACTGGCTAGATCTTCTATTTCCAGTTTTGTTATGAACTAGTCCTGGCACATAATGAAGATATTTCTATGTTCAGTCCATTTCACAGGCAATCTTGGTTTGCTCACTTTAGCAGTCAGTACCATCTGCACTAAAGCATTTCCAGCAAAGAGGAGGCAGGGGTGATAGTATTGATAGTTCTGATTTGTTCCAGTATAGCTCCCCATCTTGTGTTACCAGAACATTAGGAGTTGTCACTTGTTGCTTTGTTCTCTGTGTCAAGCTGATCATGGTTGCAGTTTCAAGTAGGGCCAATCTGTCCTCTCTGCTAGTTGTCTGTTTCTTAGATTTTTAGAAGCAGTTGCATCACACTGACTGGGGTGCTAATCCAATTGACGGTGTTGCCAGAACCCAAATTGCCAGGGTTTCAGGATTTCTATAGGGCTTTCACAACTACCATAATGGTCCCAGGTCATACTAAGTTCCCAACATACATTACCCTCAATGGCATTTCCCTACTTTGCCATTCCAACCCCTATACCCTCATAGCATAGATGATGGATTGAACTTTGAGGGGGTTATTGTTATTGTTACTGAAGTCATCCTTCCCAAGGACATTTGCCTTTTGACTTTTAGAAGACCTAAAAGTCCCTAGAAGCCCAAGAAGTCTCTCTGTAATGATGGAGCCACACTTAGTGACAAGTGGTGGGAGAGATACTTTTGGGCAGAAGGACCTTGCCAAGATAACCTTAAAATCTCACCATGTGGCATACACTTGCTCTACTTTCTCATTCAATTTTTTTCCTTTTGTTTTTAAACTTAACAGTCATCAATAATCAAGGAAAACAAAATGAGTATCATAAGAGAAACTGTAAATTTCTGTTACATAAGCTTGTTTTATTTTTTTAAAAGTAAATATTAAAACGAGCACAATAGTAACAGAACTGCTGTTTGTGGCCCCTTACCAACTTCTTTTCATTTTCTTCAGCATACTTTTATAATGTTT